AGGCCTTTGCTTGTAGGTTGGAGGCCTTTGCTTGTAGGTTGGAGGCCATTGCTATTAGGTTGGTGGTCTTTGCTTGTAGGTTGGAGGTGGTGGTCTTTGCTTGTAGGTTGGAGGCCTTTGCTATTAGGTTGGAGGCGTTTGCTTGTAGGTTGGAGGCCATTGCTATTTGCTTGTAGGTTGGAGGCCGTCGCTATTAGGTTTGAGGCCTTTGCTTGTAGGTTGGAGGCGTTTGCTATTAGGTTGGAGGTCTTTGCTATTAGGTTGGAGGCCTTTGCTTGTAGGCTGGAGGCCTTTTGCTAAAAGGTACATATTGCCAACAATGACATTATTGTATATATTTCAACACTGGTAAATTAACATTGTCATGTTGGGTTGGTATGTTTGTGGCACACAGCTTGCCATGTTGCCACAAACCATTCAAGACATTGCTCCAATATGGTTACATTTGCAATGGCAAAAACATGACAATATACAAGAAGCACCTGTGACCATGTGTCTATTAGCAATACTTTTCAATATGTTGTGTCAATTTTGACAACATATGTTTTCCCGAATGCGTAGCGAAGGGTTCTCGTTTAACTCTGGGGGTCTGGGGGTAGAGTCTTGTTCGCGATCCGTTGTTTCTATGTTCGCAACCGTCCTCAACCGTCCGCAACCGTTCGCAACCGTCCGCAACCGTTCGCAACCGTCCGCAACCGTTCGCAGTAGGACGCTAAGGCGCTGCCATTGGGGGAAGCTTTTGCAAGTGACTTTTCATGGATGTGTCACGTGTCAGTTTGCGACGCTATTCCATTGTGATTTGCATGAAAATGACATGTCGCGCAAGAAGCGTGATGCATTTCGCTGTACAGGCGCAGTGGTTTGAGAGATCCGCAGTTTACTGCGCAGTTCCATTGGGATTAGCGTTTGGAGAGTCGTGTTTTTGGGGTGGTGGATGTGGCCGTGCCATTGGGATTTGCATTTCAGGGTGTGGCATCGAAGCTCTGTTTTCGTGACAAGTCTCAGCTGAAATGGCGATGTTGGTGGATGGGAGTGTGCTCAGAACCGGTCGAAATCATTCTAAACGTGTGGTGTGGTGCAAATTTTGTTGAAGCTCACGTGAGATGATATTCTCACTTTTCGTGGCAGGCACAGTACTTTGTGCTGATTTTGAGGTGTGGAAGTGCGATTTTCGTGGCAGGCGCAGGAAATCGGGAGGTTGCGAGGTGTGACGGAGGTGACATGTCGTGGCAGGCGCAGTACTTTGTGCGCGTTAGACGTGTGGATGCGGAAAGATTCGTGGCAGGCGCAGGGAATCGTGAGGTCGTGAGTTATGGTAGAGGTGAATGTCGCTGTCACATTGGGATTGGCGTGTGAGCGGGTGTCGTTTGGAGGGGCTGGAATCGCGAAATTGCTTGGCAGGGCTGCGTGATGTGTGTGCTCCGATGGGTGTTTCCGCTGGACTTTTGGAGGAAGTCTCGTGCGAAACGCTCGTTTTTGAGACTTGACGCGTGACTTTTGGAGGAAGTCTCGTACGAAACGCTCGTCTTGCAGAGGAGTGTCCCACAAGAGTGACCTACAAGAGTGTCCCAGATTGGCGCGACCTTTGGACGAGAAGTCTTGTATGAAATGCTTGCGTGTGTGTTCGGGAAACCCACATAGTTTATCACACGATCGACTGCAGCCATTTTGGGAGAGACGGTGCCCGCATCCTGCTGTGCGCTTTTGTCTCGCTCCGACATCGAAGATGCTCGCAGACACCTGCCTGGTTTTCCAGCCGCGGAACACCTACCGCGACCGACCCGCAGAACGCCCGAGGGTCGCTTTCAGTACGTCCCAGGGGCTTGGACGGCGGCTACGAGGGCGAGTGTAGTGACTGAGTTCAGGGGAACGAAAAGGAAGTACGACCCCACCAAGTGGCGTCAGCTGCGAACGGATTTCTGCGACATCTGGTCTCTTGTGCTGGAAGAGGTGGCCGCTCCCACGGCACAATTTTTCCGAGAACACGGGGCTCTGCGTGTCTTTGCCGCCGATGGTGGAGGCGGCCATTGCTTCTTCTTGTCCACTGCGGTCGTCCTGATGCAGGCGCGAGCAGTCCACCCACGACTCTTGAATCTTTTCACTTCCGATGAGGTGGCAGACTGGGACGACCGAACTACGGTTGCGGCTGCTCTCCGCAAGATTGTCGGGCGACACATGCGCGCCAAGACGCCAAAAGCATTCTTGAACTTCGTCGTAGGGTGTTTGGTGCGCGAAACTGCGAGGACATGGCTGGACGACTGGTCCATGATCGCACTCTTGCGTGGCTCTCCTTTTGCTTTCTTGAAAGACGCCAACGATGTCCTCGGAGCAGAAGTTACAGACGACGCCATGCTAGTTCGCTACAAAGAGGGCGACAGCTCCGTGACGAGGAGCAAGAGAGTGCGTTCTGGCACTGCGGCCCTGGTGTCTTTGCGGGATGCCGTGAGCACTGCTCTCGAAACTTGTGGGAATACTCATTGGGCAACGGACGTCGACTTTGTTGCGTTGGCCACGGAGCTCAATCTTGGCTTCATCATTGCTGGAAATACTTGGACCCAGACGTCTGTTGTTCGAGGCTCCGGTGACACATCTAACAAACCTGTGTGCGATAAATCCATACGAATGTTGGACTAATGACATAACCTATAGGATAGTTTTCTTCACTTCCGTTGTGTGTGTCTCATATACTTCTTGTCGACGCAGGCGAACCACAACAACGCACGGTCTTGCACTCCTATTTACAAGAAGATCAGACGCCGCAATTGTGGATTTCTCTGTATTATGTGGACGGTTATCATTTTCAAGTGCTTATTTTCGAGATTTTGGGACAATGCCATTGTTTCTTTCGTGCCGCGGATCTGCCAGAACCTTTACGCCAATGCTTGATTTGAATGCAAAACAAAGATCCTTCATGATGAAGACAGAGCTTGGTAGTGAAGTCCCCAGCGCATGCTGCCTTGGTGGTGGAGTCCCCAGTGCATGATGTCCAACAGCGTGCCGGAGCGTGAAAAAGAGATTCTGACCGTCTGTGTATCTTTTTGTACACTGGTTTGACGTATGTGTTTGCATTCGGGTTCGTGGGCTCCATCTTGTTTTTACAATTTGCACACATGTTGATGTCTAGTTCTAATTCTTTTGTATATGCATGAACAAGTGTGCACTGCAACATTTTTGTGGTCAGCTTTCATTTATCAAAACATGTTTTCAACCTATTTTTGTGAAGTTAGTAACATAGTGGTAGCAATGCTAACAATGCTAACTGTTAGCAGAGTTAGCAGTGTTAGTGTTAGCATTGTTATCTTAGTTAGTTAACTTTTACTAAAAGTTAATATCTTATATAAGTGTTAGCATTGTTACACCATAGTTGCAACTATGTTACAACTATGTTGTGACCCTGTTAGCTAACTCTCACAACTAACATAACCTGTTACAAAAAAGCGGACAATGTAAGTATGTCACCAGCAATTTGTGGCGTCAGATTGGGGATCACCTTGGGCGTCTGTCCATCGTCGGCTAACCATAGAAGGTCCCGGTACATCAAAATGGCATAGCCGGACATGTGGTTGTGGCCTTTGTGACAGATCAGTGCCACTGGGACGTACTCCTCTTGCTTCCTGGAGAATCCATCCAGAGAGACGGGCACGGTGAAGGTGCCGTGCTGACAAGGCCATCGACTTCTGTGTCTGAGGGCTCTCTTCTCATCCATGAAATACTGCCCCAAACCTTCATTGCGCCACGCTCCTGGAAGTGAACTTCATCAGGACAGTGGGCTGGAAAGTCGATGTGGATGGGCATTTTTTGGATGTGGTCTTTGAGGAAACCTCCTGGCTGTATCTCTGCGTATCTGTAGGTGAATGCCCGAGACTGAGTGGCCAGCCATAGGGTGTTCACGAAGTGGCTAGCATCCCCTTGCACATTGAGGTCGTGCTGCTCCCATAGCGTTTGGAGACCGGGTAGCCGTTGCAGGTCAACTGCCTCACAGGTTCGAGACTTTCTTGGACTGCTTCTCGGACTGTTCCCCAGGGTTGGAGGTTGTGTTCTTGCAGAAAAGCGCATAGCCAGGTGAAGGCTCTCCATGGAGCATTGGCAAAACATCTCTGGCTTGGATTTCCCACTATCATAGTCAGATTCTGCATCAGCAAGTCCGTTGACATGGCAAAGTCATAGAGGACTTGCTGATTCATCGTTGTGGCCTCCGTAGACGACCAGTCACATGGGAGTCTGGTTGACAGCTTTCATGTACTGTTCTGACAAAGTCTTCAGGCGTTGTTGCCCGTCTGTCAGCTTGCTTTGCAAGTCCTGCATGTCCTGGAGCATGGAGGCATACTGAGCTTTGACTTGATCAAGCTTAGTTTGCAGCTGCGTTTTCCGGATTGAGATTGTTTTCAAATCCGTGACCTGTGTCTTGAGCTTCTGGGGGGGCGATCTCTTTCTCAGTGCCCGGAATTGGCTGAGTGAGCTTAACACAACTTCTTGTACCGCCTGTGGGGGTGCGGTCATGTGGGACTTGAGGAGTTTTGTCAACTCCGGTTCATAGCCAAGTGCCTGAAGCTTGGTCTGGATGTTTTCGGGAATGACATCCCATGTCGTGGCCAAGAGATCGGCCGCAGTATGCTGCTCTTTCTCCTTCTTAAGGGGCCTGAGTTTGGTGAGGCGTAGAGGTGTGTCCAAGAGCTGTTCCCCATGCTGCTTCCGAGGCCATGTAGTCTTACCATGACCTTGCTGTCTGGGATGTCCATGTCCCTGACCTTTGCCCTTGCCAGTACTGGTCTCTGGCGTCCACCAGATTCCGCATTTGCGGCGCTTGGTGCCTGGCCTGACTTTGTCCGCCCATTGCATATCCAGTTTGAGCATTTGGTGCTCCTGCAAATCATGTAGTTTCGTCCCCACTGCATGATTGTGGCACCGATCTCGTTCTGGCCTGGAAGGTTCTTTAAGATGTAGGGATCACGGGCAATGTGATCAGGTAGATCAGAAAGTCCCCAAGGCCGGAGGTGCTGAAGAGCAAGTCAAAAGCGAGGAAGATGATCTCGTTAGATCACGGGCAAAGGAAGGTTGTAGGTGTCCTTGTTCCTGAGCCGTGCGGGATGTCGTAGTCCTCGCAATGCTTGCTTGGGGGTGCCGCACCAGGAGGGCTTCGTGGGCTGCCTCCTTGATCCACTCGCGGCTTGAGCCATGTATGTATGTATGTATGTATATATATATATGTATGTATGTACGTATGTATGTATGTATGTATGTCGGGATTTGATATGTGGCGGATTCAACAGAAGGATTTTAGTGGAAATGGCCCCCGTCCAGACCGGCGCAAGCGACTTTGCAGTAGTTGATCAGGCTTGCTGGTATTAGTTTTTCCTGGATAGTTCTGCTATCATGGCGAGTGATGCCTCTGACCCTGCGGGCTCGTCCGAATCGCTGCTACTAGCCATTGCACGAGACCTTGGCTTCAAGAGACCGCCATTGACCCTGCCAAAGGATTGGAGAGAAACGCAGGGCAGGGTGAAAGGAAGCCAGCTCACCGTTGCTAATTACACGTAATCGCAGATTGCTGCGTGTACTGGAACTTAATATGATCGTTTGAAACTTTTGTCACAAATGCTGCAGTGCTCGCAGGAGTGCTTGACGGAGTTCGTTCTGCCAAAGGGCAGGGCAACATGTGGCCTTGTTTGGATGCACGGTCTTGGAGACGATGAAGAAGGCTGGGCAGACATGTTGGAGGACAACTTTCGAGTACCTGCAGCTTGCGGATCATGCAAGTTTGTTCTACCTCGTGCACCTAGACAACCATCAAGTTGTAACGGTGGTGACGTCACTACAAGCTGGTTTGACATTGCGGACTTGCCGATTTCGCGCAAGAGTTCAGCACCCTATGGCTGCTCCCTGGAAGAAGCACTTTCTTCCTGTGGGCGAGTGCACGCAGCGATTGACAAACTCATCGCGGAGGGAATCCCTTCGGAACGTATCATGGTCGGAGGCTTTTCTCAAGGTGGGTCAATGGCAACTCCTCGGCAAGTGTATATAGATTCTTTTTTGGAGTTTATTGCGCTGGCCATAGTGCAGCGGCGCAGACTGGGGCAGGCTTGGAGGCAACTTTGAAAGTAGTTCAATGTAGTTCAGAAATGCAACATTTACCGTCGTCTGACTGGCGCAGGCTTTAGTTTACACCAACATCTTTGTCGCGCACTTGTCTCTGTCTGAGGCAATGCTCTCAACCTTGACCTATCCGAAACGGCTTGGTGGCATCCTAGCCACCATGGCTGCAAACATTTTTGTGAGGGTAGCAGACCTCCAACGACCTAAAAACCTTTCATATTCTGTGGTTGATTTGCATCATGATCTTCAACATGAGCCGTTGCAGAATTGCCAATTCCATTGGTCCAAGGTATTCAGTGGAATTTGTTTCTTTGGCGATCTTCTGAACAAGTTGGCCCAAGCTCCTCATTGCAAAGAGCTACAGGCCGGGTTTGTTGAAATCCAGGTCGTTGACATAATCATAATGGGACAAGGCAAGAAAACAAACCTCAGGTTTTTTGGGGCCACGGAACTCGTGACGAAGTTCTTGCTGCAGATTTGCAAGATGAGGGCGTGGAAGCATTACAAGCTGCGGGCATCAAAGTCACAGCAAAGATGCCCTACTTGCAATCATGAAGTTGACTAAGTCAAGGAACAGACAGCATATCAAAACCTTTGCCAATATCCAACTGAGGAAGTATGCGGTGGATCATGGCCCCACTGAGCGGGAATTGAAGGATGCGCTCGCTTTTTATGTAGAACATCTCAAGTCCTAGACGAAGCCTTTGGCGAGAGAGAAGGGTGGAGAGAGATTGGGAGCCACTGGAGGGAGGGAGGGAGGGAGCCTCTCCTTCCCTCTCCTTCCCTCCCATTTCCCCCTCCCCCCTCCCCCCCCTCCCTCCCCTCCCTCCTCCCTCCCTCCCCCTCCCTGGGATGGAGGGAGAGGGAGGGAGGGGGGGAAGGAGGGAGGGAGGAATGGAAAGGGAGGGAGGGAAAGGGAGGGAGGGAAAGAGAGAGCGAAAGAGAAAGAGAGAGAGAGAGAGAGAGAGAGAGAGGAGAGAGAGAGAGAGAGAGAGAGAGGAGAGAGAGGTGGCTCAAGCCATTTTGGCTCAAGATTTGGGCTCAAGGGTCAGGTGGCTCAAACCGGTTGGGCCTCACCTTCGAGCACAAGGGCACTGGCACCCCTTCCCTGCGGAGACCTTTGGCTTTGAGTATCACTGCGGTGTCTTTGCCTTTGCTAGTGATCCGAGACGGACGAGCGCTTTGACCAGATCTTCACCAACGAGATGCAGAGTTGGGACGGCTTCAGAGCCGTAAGGCCCCGAAGGGCCTATCTTGTGTGCAAAGGGTGTGAAGGAAGCTGGATCTGGGCTGATCGTGTGAGTGATCAGCGGTGGTGCTGTGATCATTGTGGACAGCAATGGCCTGCTGGCCAGCAGCAACGTGTGTCCCCCAGGCCATCACGTCAGAGGACACGCCGAGAGAGGGCAAGGAAGATAGATGCACCGCCTGGATTGGGGCCCAAAGACAAACAAGTGAAACGCCCGGTGGATGACATGCTCAAGAAGAATTGGGCAAGCCTCTCGGAGGATGTCAAGAAGGCGCTACAGACAGTTGGGATTGACTACACCCCACCACCAGAAATGCAGCCCTTGGAAGAGCTCCTCAAAGCGCATCTCGAAGATCTACCCAAAGAAGTCAAAGACGCAGTGACGAACCTGGTGACACCAGTGAAGCAAGAGCCTAAGGATGTCACCTCTCAGCTTAAGGTGACGGTTGGGGAACTTCGTCAACTGTCGAACAAAAAAGCTGGGCTTCAGAGGAAGGTAGACCATGCCAAGGAGCAATACCGGACCCTATTGGATGAGCTGAAAACCGTCCAAGAGTTGATTGACAAGGAACAGCAACAGTTGAGTGCTCAATCTGAGGCTTATGCCAAGATCCTGAAAGAGGAGACCAAGGAAGCTCCTGGTGCTGTTGAAGCTGTTGATGAGGACGTGAATGATCACGTTTTGAAGGCATTAGCTCAGGTTGGCATTCTGTACACAGAGACTCAGAAGTCGGATCTTGAGCGGCAGCTGGCTGAAAGCATGCTCAAACGCCGCAAGAAGACTGAGAGCCAGTCGTCGGGGTAACCCCAATGACAGGCCTGTGAAGGAGCGTTGGACGATGAGCAAAAGGACCAAGCCTGCTGAACATCTTGATTTGGGGTCGATGTATTCTGCAAGCTTGGGTGGAGCAGCATTGGGTTCAATGGGTTTGCAAGCACACAACCAAGAGTGTTTGAGTGTTTGGTTTGATTGGGATGGCATGTCCACTTGCAGGGGAGCAAGCAATCATGCTGAAGAATTTGGAAGTTGGCGTTTTGCGGCTGACCATGAGAACTATGCTTGTGAAGGCTCTCAAGGGTGGCAGCCGTACGTTGCATGTGGAAGAGATTGGGTCACTCCTTTTCCATGTGATCAGGGCATTCCTGTACACACCATCAATGTTGGGGTTGATGTTCAGTTTTCGCAAGCTGTAGGCCCGGGGGTGGCCATGGAGGGTGAGATGCATGGAGACACGTTGCTCACCTACAGCAGTGCCAATTGCCTGGGAAATGCACAGACCCCGGGTAGTGACGATGTACATCGGGATGGGCAGGAGGTTAGGCTCTCAGCTTCCTCTGGGACAAAGATGTTGGAGGATAGGCTGGAGCATCGTCCTGCTCAGCAAGGACCTGCTGGGACCAGCCCTGGAGCACCGAGCTCTACGTCGTCTGAGCGGCCGGGGCAACCTGGACCTGCTTCTTTCGGGACTCCAGAGTTTGGTCAGTGCCAGCAAGAGCGCAACAGAAGAGCTCGGCGAGATCAAGTGGCCTTCTTGGGTGGAGGCAAGCGGGCTCGTGCAGATGAAGTGTGGGTTGATGGAGAAGATGAGGAAATTGAACAGACAAGTCCAGGCATGCTTCAGCAGCGACTGATTGTCCTGCAGGAGCGGGCCATGCAGGCCATCCAAGCATTGCCTGAGGCTTGCCGTGAAGACTGGGACTTTGGCATGCCTGAAACGAGGATTTGGGGGCTTGAAGCCCTAAAGCACATCCTACGCAGTAGGTTGGCGCTTCAGAGCAACTTGATGTTGTGCAGGCCGGTGGAGCATCAACCAGACATTCCACCGACAGCAGAACTTCTTGCTGCGAATTTGACCCTCAACATCCAAAACAAAGGCAACCGATGTTTTGCCAATGCAGTGTTGCGCATGTGGTGTTGGATGGGTGCTCATCATGCAAACCCTGCTGAGTTTTGGGGGCAGTCGACAAAGCTGTGCATGCAGATTTTGCAGCAAGATGACATCCCGGACATTTTCTGGGCTTCGGAACTTCAGCCAGCTCTTGCAAGGTTGGAAAACCCACAACAGCAACATGATGCTTCGGAATTTTTGGTGCACCTGTGGGAGTTGTGGGGGCAAACTGGTCTGCAAGGCAACTGGTTTTCGCACTTTGGGGGTCGATGGCATGAGTTTGACACCATCCCTCTGTTCATCCGGATGCCACCGGAAGCTGGCTTGGAGGTCCAATTTGAGGACCTGTTGAAAGAATGGGCCAATGAAGCCAATGGCCAAATGCTGGGGCCGGATGTGGAGCATATAGTGTTTCATATTGGTCGATACTCCCTTTGTCAGCAATCCAGGACATGGAAGAAGCACAACAATGTTTTGCACACACCTTCCACCTTTCGCTGTCCTCAAAGAACGCAATCTGGCCATGGAGGTCACTCTACGTTTGTGCTGCGTGGCATCATTGCGCATCAGGGTGAAGAGCTTATCTCTGGCCATTATGTCACTTTGTTAGTTGAAGGGGAAGCTGTATGGTTCGTTGATGAGGGCAGATGTCCTGAAGTTCAGAAGTTGGTGCCGGAACAGATCAAACAAGGAGCTGTAATGATATGGGCATCCAGAGCAGAACAGTCAAACTTTTGGTCCACCACAGTTGGCAATTTTGCACCACCGGGCAAAAAGCCTCGCCCTCCGCAACAGGAGATTGACATTTGCTATGCCAACATCACTCAGTGGACGAAAGATGCCAAGGAATGGGTGACTCAGCAAAACCATTCCATAGTCATGATGGTTGAAACCCATTTGACTGGGGTGAAGCTTGAAGCGGCCCATAATGATTTGTGCCGTCAGCGGTGGCAGCCCACTTTGTTGGAAGCCTATGAAACTGGCAGAGGAGGCAACAGTGGGGGACAGCTTTTCACTGTGAGGGAGGGCCAATCGGCCTACAAACTCCACTCCTATGACTTGCAGGGCAATGGTTTTCTGGCCAATGTGCTCCAACGACAACACCTGGAGCTGGTACTTGCGACCCTGTATCTCAAGTGCGGAGAAGACTTGAACTCCCATGCCAACTCCACGATCCTTGGGCAGCTGGCGGCCTTTCTTCAGGAATTGGCCACCCCGTGGATTGTTGCTGGAGATTTCCAAGTGCCACCTCTGCAGTGGGATGGCCACAACCTGCTCAATGTCTTGAAGGCTGAGATAGTGTGTGCAGGTCAGCCAACGATGATTAGTGGAGCAGAACTTGACTACTTGCTGGTCAGTCGGAGTGTGGCTCCTTTTGTCCGAGTCACAGTGAACTGGGATGTGCCATGGAAACCTCATGCGGCTTTGAACATTGCTGTGGACAAGGAAGCTCCGACGCTGCTGTTGCCGCAGCTGACTCACTACATAGCGGTGCCCAAGCTCGATGACCAGGTCCAGAGTTGGGAGGAGTTTGCGCCCTCACCAAAAGTCTTTTGGTTAGGCCGCCCCACAGGGCCCAAAGAGATTCAGTATGCGGAGTGGTGTCATCAGGCGGAACAGTTTGGTCTTCAGAGGCTGCATGAACCCAAGATGGGCAGAGGCTGGTATCTTGCTCTGGAACACAAGCCGCTGCCAATGTCAAAGCCACTGAGTCCGTGGAAGAAGGGTGACCTGGCATACTGGGGACAATTCTGCTCGTTGTTGCAACACATTGCAGTGCAGCCATGCTTGGGAACTCGAACGCTGGCTCATTTGCGTGCCAAAACTGCCGACCTGGATGCAAGGTGGCAAGATGTTCATGGCCATCAGGAATTTCAACAAGGTGTTGTTGCTTTGATTGCTGGTGATCCTACGCCCCTCACGTTGCTTATCAAAGGAGCTGAGTGCAATCGGGATTTTGCCAAGAAGGTGGCCCTGGATCAACAAGCCAGTGACTTTCAGCAATGGCTCTCGCAAGCTAAGCTCCGAGGGCACAGTGGCATCTACAAATGCCTCAAGGCTCCTGACAATGTCTATGTTCGGCCTTTTCGTGATGTGCCAGTCCAGCAAAGGCAACAGCTGCGGGAGCAGCAATGGCATGGCCGATGGGGAGTCATCAGTACACCCCTTGCGAGTGGGGAGCGAGAAAGGCTGCGATGGGAAGGCATTGTCCAAGCAAGGAGCTGGGAAGATCTTGATCCGCATGAAGTGATGAAGAAACTTCGGAAGCTTCCTCAAAAGGCTTGTGGGCCTGATGGCATTAGTTATGCATTACTCAAGAACCTGCCAATCGAAGGAGTCATTGAAATGTGCCACATGCTGCGGAGGTGGGAGTTGGCTGGGCGTCTGCCTGACCAAGTGTGTACCACTTTGGTTCTTTTGCTTCCAAAAAAGGTGGACATAGAGCGTCCCATCTCGCTGACGAGTGTGATGTACCGCACATGGTGTCGCCTTCGGTGGGATAAGCTTCGACAGTGGCAGACAACAATTGGACAGCGGCTGCCATGGGAGCGAAGTTTACCTGGTACACAGGTCCTGCAG